TGGGTGTGCTTTGTAAACTATGCTTAGAAAAGTATCATTTTGAAGGAGAGGGCCCTTTCCTAGTAATCAGTCTTTTTTTGTTTGAGGTTTTATTTCTCACCAAGTGGAGGCAGGTGCATGAGACTAGTGCTAAGAACACAGGCTTCCTTCCCTGCCCGTGCTTGTGTCGTCCTCGTGGGTCACACCCAGTGCCAGTGTGGCCTTCTGCAGCTTGGCTCTCAGACGCTCCCCAGTGCACGCACAAAGAGAGAATGAGTTTTCAGTTTCTTCCAGCCTGCTTAGGAAGGAGAGGGACCTTTGCCCTAGGGGAAACATAGCATATTGTAATAATTAGAGCCTTAAATAAAAACCATATGAAATTTTCAAAGATTGAAGTTTTTATTCTGCAATTTTTGATTTGCCTGTAAGAGAGTCAATGAACTACTTACAGTCCAAAAAATTTGGTCCTGAAATACATTTTTCAGAATTATCTTTTTACTTTGTCACAAACCATATAATGGTATTTTAAGATGAAAATTGGGACTAGAGAGAGGGCTTAGTGATTAAGAGCACATACTTCTCTTGCAGAGGACCAGAGTTCAGTTCCCAGCCCCACATCAGGCATCTTGTAATTCCAGCTCCAAGGGATCCAACAGCTTCTTTTGGCTTCTGCAGGCACTTGCGCTCACGTTCACCGCCCCCCACATACATACACACACACTCATCACTAAAAACAATAAAAATAAATCTTTGAAAAAGGACATGAGAACAAGGCATTAGAGAAATGGCTGTGGTAAAGTGCTTGCTCTGCAAACAGGAGGATCTGAGTTTGGATTTTCAGTATACACATTAAAAAAAAAAAAAGCCAGGGGAGGAATTTACACTGTAATCTTAGCAACAGGGATGTGGAGTCAGGAGGACCCCTGGGGTTTGCTGGTCTGCCAGTCTAGTCAAAACAGTGAGCTCCAGGTTCAATGAGACTCTGTTTCCAAAATTAAGGAGAAGTGACAGAAGAAGATACTGATGCCAGCTTCTGGCCTTCACACATAAGCACACATATGCACATGCACCCGCACACCCAGATGCACAAGAGCACTTGCACATGCTTACACACACAGGGTAAGAATCAGGAGGAACCTATGAAAATGATGTAACATGGCTTGTCTTAGAATTTTCTCTCCTGCTATTAAATTTTGATGTTAGACCTCCTCTTCCACTGGCTCAGTTGGATGTTATACTTCCTTTTTCATGGACTCTGTTGGATGTTAAACTTCCTCTTCCACTAGCTCTTCCACTTCCACAAGTCTAGTAAATACAAGCCCATTTGACTGCAGCACGGACGAATGCTTACGTTACTAATTCAAATGCTGCTGTTATTGAGGACAGATTCTGTGATGAGAGAGAAAAATAGGAAAAGCATGGGGTTAGCAGAAGGGTGGGCCCATTCTACAAGTCCTTGGGGCGAGGACTGTGCTTCTCCCTATGAGTGTGCTGGTTCATGTTCTCTTCTGGGATGTTTGTGTTAGTGCCTCAGTTGGTCCTGGGTATTGTTGATCTGGAGATCAGAGCTGATCTGTATTCCATTTCCATTTCTTAACAACTGTGTGTCCTTAGGTAAGCTATTTAACTTCTCTGAGTCTGAGTACTTTTACTCACAGAAACAAGATATACTATCAGCCTCACAGAGTTTTAGAATTCTTGTGAGAGCTGTGTACAGGCCTGTTTTAGATCATGTATCTTGCCCGTGGTAGTATTCATACATGTTTGTATTACTACTTTAAATCTTAAATGTTGGTTCAAGTCACAGGTAAGGAAGGTGGAGGCCAGTTGTGTTCACCTATCCAAATTTTGAGTAGCATGAGGCACAGCAGGAAGGATGGGGGAGGGGAGCAAGATCTCTGTGCTCCCTCCTCTACCCTTGGCCCTCTGTGTTGACTGGGTGCCTTAGCAGGTCTGTCTAGTGCTTTTCAGGTGCCAGGGACCACACTCACTTCTAACGCAAGTGAGGTAGGTCTAAATGCTATTATAAAAGAGTTGGATTCAGGGCAGAAGAAATGGATGCTAGTCCCAGGCTCAGGGCCACCTTAGGGAGCCTCTTCAGAGCTTGGGTCCCACAGACAGAAGGTTCATGTGCTCATGAAGCAGAAAAGAAATACACCCACCCATTTAATGCCACTTTTGTGTGTGTCTAATATTGTTTTGTGGTTGATTTTATACTTTAGGTCACAGTACTCACCTTATAGCGAATTTATGGATGCTTACTAAAATTTGTGTTGAAAAAGGAATCAGTGCTAAAATGGGGAAAACTATCTTGAGAAACGAACACCCTTAAGGTCTTTCTTCCAGTTAGTTATCCAGAGAGACAGCCTGACAATATTTCTAGAGCTCTGATATGTTAACTGCATTTGGTAGATATGTAGACCCAAGGTCTGCCAACTTACTCTGTGAAGGGCCAGTTTGCAGTATCTTAAGCTTCACAAGTCTCGTAGTTCCTGTCAAAGTGACTCTTAGCTTTTATGACAGAAAAGCTCCTAGACAATTCAGAAAGGAACCAACCAACTTAGATCCAATAAAACTTTATTTGCAAATGTGGGTGACAGGCACTTTTGCCCCTGGGCCTGTCTTTTGCCAACCTCAGCCACAGTGGAAAGCACGAGAGTAGTTGTAGGGTCTCAGACCTGTGGCAGGTGACTAGGAGAAAGTTTCAGAGACACTGAGCCTTGGGGATCCCTGACCAGCTAAGGCTAACTGCTCTACTCAGCTCTGCAGGCTCGGCTGTGCTGTTCTGGCCAGGAGGCCCTGGACTGTGCTGGTGTTGATTAGCTCCAGGGGCTTGGAGGATGGAAATTTACAAGACGCCAAAAGCCTGTTCTCTGCCGAGGCCTGATTCAGAGCTTAGGGATTAAGACCCTGGCTTGGGAATTAAGCTGGACTTTCACATCCAGAGATTTCCCCCCTACCTAGAGCTCTGATATGTTAACTGCATTTGGTAGATATGTAGACCCAAGGTCTGCCAACTTACTCTGTGAAGGGCCAGTTTGCAGTATCTTAAGCTTCACAAGTCTCGTAGTTCCTGTCAAAGTGACTCTTAGCTTTTATGACAGAAAAGCTCCTAGACAATTCAGAAAGGAACCAACCAACTTAGATCCAATAAAACTTTATTTGCAAATGTGGGTGACAGGCACTTTTGCCCCTGGGCCTGTCTTTTGCCAACCTCAGCCACAGTGGAAAGCACGAGAGTAGTTGTAGGGTCTCAGACCTGTGGCAGGTGACTAGGAGAAAGTTTCAGAGACACTGAGCCTTGGGGATCCCTGACCAGCTAAGGCTAACTGCTCTACTCAGCTCTGCAGGCTCGGCTGTGCTGTTCTGGCCAGGAGGCCCTGGACTGTGCTGGTGTTGATTAGCTCCAGGGGCTTGGAGGATGGAAATTTACAAGACGCCAAAAGCCTGTTCTCTGCCGAGGCCTGATTCAGAGCTTAGGGATTAAGACCCTGGCTTGGGAATTAAGCTGGACTTTCACATCCAGAGATTTCCCCCCTACACACACACACACACACCCCAGGCATTAGACTGGGTCAGGCTCTTGTGCTGTTGGCTGTGAGAAGGTATCCACGAGTTGTGGGCATAGAAGTCAAGAAAGAAACACGAGGGTCTCTGTTTTCTACCTTCAGCCTTGATTTTGTATATTTCTACTGAATCAGAGATGAGAACATAGCTTTGGAAATAGCCAAGGAGCATGAAGGAATCTACTCCCTAGGCCAAGAGTGACTGAACTGCTGAGCTGAGGCTCTCCGGTAGGGATGCGGAGGAGGAGCAGCGTGGGCATAGCACTCATTTCAGCCCTGAGGCTTTGTTCTGCTGGCTCAGTGGGGATGCAGAGCAGTCTGGGCAGAGCACTCACATTTTAGCCCGGAAGCTTTGTTCTGCTGACTTGGGCCAGCTGCTTCCTGTGGACTTGGAAAATGACCTCTGCTAAGGTCTAAGAGCTGTGTCCTTGCTTCCCATGCCCAGACCAGCAGACAGGATTGATTTCAAAGGGAGCTTTCAGTTCCCCATTGTCACTCTGGAACCTCCTGTGGGTGTCAGTCATGCTGTGAACAGGGCTCAGACAAGCTGGGGTAGATGCCTCTGGGCTTGCTGATCTTTCTGGTTTTCTCGGTGAGGTGAGCACTCTAGAGGCCAAAGAGCAAGATGAGGAGAAAGAAAGACCAGAGACCCAGGCTTCTTCTGGTACTAGGTCGGAAGCATGCTGGGCTCTGGGATGAGATTTTAGGTACCAGCACTCGATTTGACACCGTACCACAGAAGGAATTTGCTTTTTCTCTTTGGTTTGGAGATATAAAGAAGTTTTATCTCTGTTAATCGAAGCTTACCAAATCATATTGTACCAACTTTGGGGTACTTGCATGGGTGTCATCTACTTATATATCAGCTGTCATAGGACAGTTAGGTTGTACTAATTAATGACCCCCCAAAGCTTTTAAAAATATTTTTATTGAATTTTTGGGCATGTCATATCAAATTTAGACCCCCTTCCCCATCCTTACCCTCCTATAGCCCCCACCACCAGATTTCATGCATTCTGTCATACATGTTAAGTCCTATCCAGTTGAGCATTTGTTCCCGGATGTCCCTCTGTGCAAGTTCATCCACTAGTCTACTCAGCCTATCTGGAGTCTCTCCCTTAAAGGAGACCTACTGTCCCTCACCTTGCAGTAATTAGTTGCCAATAGTTCTTAGGCTGGGGTTGGTGCCTGCTGCTCATTTTCCACGTTCTATGCTGGGTTTTTGTCTGATTAAGTTGGCATGGGTCTTGTGCATGCAGTCACCATTGTTACAAGTTCATATGAGCAACTTCCCAGTGGCCTGAAAGCCTCTGTTTCCTTATGTTCACACACCAACCCTGGCTCTTACAATCTCTCTGCCTCCCTCTTCTGTAATGGTCCTGAGTTGTGGGTGAGTGAGGTTTAATGTAGGAGTCCTATCCAGGAACACACACTCTGAAGTCTCTTATTCTCTAAAAAAATATGAAATGCTTCATGAATTTACGTGTCATCCTTTCACAGGGACCATGCTAATCTCCTCTGTATTGTTCCAGTTTTCGTATATGTGCTGCCAAAGTGAGTATGACGCCCCCAAGAGCTTAGCGGCTCAGAAACACAATGTTATATTTCTCTCACAGGACACATGCTGAGTTGCTGTGTTTTAATGTTCTTATTTTTAAATTTATTTTTGTTTATGTGCATCTGTATGTGTGTGTGTGTGTGTATGTGTATGTGTGTGTGTGTGTGTGTGTGTGTGTGTGTGTATGTGTGTGTGTGTGTGTGTGTGTGTGTGTGTGTATGTGTGTGTGTGTGTGTGTGTGTGTGTGTGTGTATGTGTGTGTGTGTGTGTGTGTGTGTGTGTGTGTATGTGTGTGTGTGTGTGTGTGTGTGTGTGTGTGTATGTGTGTGTGTGTGTGTGTGTGTGTGTGTGTGTATGTGTGTGTGTGTGTGTGTGTGTGTGTTGAATGGTGTGGGTGCCCTCAGAGACCAGAAGAGGGCATCAGATCCCCTGGAGCTGGACTTACGGGTAGTTATGAGCTTCCTGATGTGAGTGCTGGCAGCGGAACTTGGGTCATCCAGAAGAGTAGGAAACATTCTTAACTCCCGAGCCATCTCTCCATTCCCCTGTGTTTCTGTTCTTTATCTCCTAAAATACTAACACTGTGGTAGCTGCCTTTATTTCGGGAATGGGAGACAATAGACCAAACCTGCCCGAGGACCAGAGTGACTACAGCTGGTTTCAGCTTACATTTCCTGAGTTAAAGCAAGACATGTGGCCACTCTTGATGTCCACAGAGGCCAGGAAATCAGTCTATTCCCATGAGTTTTGAATGTGTAGAAGAATTCCTTGCTGTAACAATAGAAGAAGAGTCTATAAACTCAAACAGAAGAAAGATTTACTTGAAGGTCATCAGGTAACAGCATAATTGACAGGAAGGCTGAAGACCAAAGTTCTAGAGGAGGCATTTTCCCACCACAGCCATGACTTCTGTGTCCGGGAGCCTCCCAAAGCACAGGGTGTCTCTCTGAAGCCACCTTGGCCTGTGTGTAGCTCCCCTGTGATCTAAAGTGATGGGTGGGTACTGCTGACTGACCACAAGCAAGCCATGTGGCCATGTCCTAGCTGCTTGGAGGCTGGGAAGATCTTCATCTTCAGTAGGAGGAGTTCCACTTCCACAAGGACTTAGAAAGGGAGGAACCTCACCCACACGAGAAGCCCTGCTGAGTCCTGCTGACAAGCCCATGTCCTCCCAGGAGAGCTGGGGAAAAATTCTGACTGACGATGTCAGTCATGTTCTATTGACTCATGTTCGGGTGCTTTAGTGAGAAGTGGCTGGGAAGACTGGCACATCACTTGGAGTTGCTTGGAGCTCAACTGCTTTCTTGATTTTGTTTTTTGAGACAGGGTCTCACTATGTAGCTCAAGCTGGCCTGGAACTCGCTATGTAGACCATCCTAGGCTGGCCTACTCAGAGTGATCTGCCTGCCTTTGCCTCCTCAGTGCTGGTCTTAAAGATGTGCAGTACACCCAGCCCAGAGCACAGCTTCTTAGCTGACAGTTTTTAGACATGGCCTTCAGCAAACAGCCTAAAAGGACCAGAAAATGGTAGGAGAAGGATGAAGATGTAGCTTAGAGGTAGAGTGCTTGCCTAGCATGTATGAGGCCCTGGATTCCGTCCCTACTACCACAAAAATAATAAATAAGTAAGAAAAAGAAGAAAACTAAGGGTGAGTCTCCCTCCCTCCCTCCATTCATAGCCTGACCTTCATTTCATGGCCTTTTCTCTTTGTCAAGGTGTCCTCTTCAGGTAAGACCTCCAGAAACTGAGTCTACCATCTACCCATGACCAGTACGAGAGAGGGAGGGAATGACACTGAGATCGGAACACTGTGTTATCATGTGGTTGGAAGTCTACACCACGGACTATGTTTGCTTGTGAAGGAGTGAGTGAAAATGTTCCGGACCCTGCCTCAGATGAGGACCAGGCCATCCTCACCAGGGCTCACTGTCATGAACACTCTCCCACAGAACCTTCCAGGTTAACTTATTATTACTATTAATTCATTTTGTTTTACGTGTATGGGGGTTTTACCTGCATGCATGAAGGTGCACCCATGCATGTAATGCTTGTGGAGGCTAGAAGAGGGCATTGCATCCCCTGAAACTGAGGTTAGGGACAGTTGTTAGCTGCTCTGTGGGTTCTGGGAACCCAAAGAACAGCCAGTACTGTTAACCACTGAGTCATCTCTCATGCCCCAAACCCTCCTTATGAAACTGTTAGTCTATATGACTGAAACAGCATAATGTCCATTGTACATCACTGTACAATTTAAAGCAATTTTGTATTACATTTCCTGGTTATATCCTTATAAATGGATATTTTTAATTTATTTATCCTGGGAGTAATATACTTGTATCAGTTATTATATCTTTTTCTTAAGGATATTAATTGTTAGAAATTAGCATCAACCTTTAAACATTATTTTGGTATTCTTCCCCCTCCTTTTCTTCCACTTCCTCCAGTGAATGTGAAGTCACAGAATACAGATCTGTCTGGAAAGTTCTTGACCTTTAATTCTTGACCTCTCAGAGCTTTGAAAAGCAGATGCATGAGGGCTCTCTAAATGCCCACAGTCAGAACTGTATGTGGCAGTAGGATTTGGAGTCAGAAGACTGTGTGGACTGAGTATCGGTGTGGATCCTGATGTCTTGGAGCTGACGCATGGACACAGGCTTCCTCAGAGTATGAGGCACTCACCAGTGCCTTGTTACAGCCTCATTTGGAGTACATGATGGAAATTGTCTGTAAAGTATTTCCATGTGTCCATTGGTAATGTCAAATATGTTTAGAAAAGTACTAAAAAGAAAATAGTACTTCAGGAGTTGGCACAGCATGAGGAGACTCCATCCAGCCTGAGTCACACAGGATTCACTACAAGCTAGAGGCTGGAGGCTGGAGGCAAGTCTCTACCACAACAAAGACTCTGCCCTCAGCTCTATAATGTGTCCTGAGTCTGGGAAGGGAAGGCCTAAGCTCAGGCAGACAAGAGCCCAGAGTCCCAGAGTTCCAAGTGGGAACAGATAGCTAGCAGCAAGAGAGCCAAGTACCTCATAGTAAAGTAACAGGCTGGGAGGGACGGAAAAATCTCCCTCCCCATTCTCTTTCAGTGACTCCAGGCTTGTTTTGGAGCCCATCCTGCCCCAGAACCTTTGGTTGATGTCCCTGTCCTATCTCCCAGTGGAGAATAGCACTGTTCTGAGGTTAGCAATCTAGTTTCCTATTGGAACCAGCATCATATCTAGGTTCCTTGAATCCCATCTCCTCGGGAGGCATCCTAGGTTGGAGTTGCTTTTCTATACCTTTGTTGCTGATCAGCAGCCTGGGTCTTTCAGGTTCTTGTCATCTTCTCTGGTCTTCTGCACAAAGTGAGCTCACCTCAGAGGCTTAAGACCAGATCTTCCAGAAGAAATGAAATCAATGTGCTGAAGACATTATCTGTACTCCCATGTTCATGGCCTCACTGTCCATGATAGCCAAGATTTGAAACCAACCTAAGTGTCTGTCAACTGATCAAGGAATTGTGATACATGTGTCCAGTGGGATTCTCAGTCTCAAAAAGAAGGAAATCCTGCCATTGTAACAGTGTGGATGAGCCTTGAAAGCTTAATGAAATAGGATAGGCATAGACAGACAGACACCACCGGATATGATGTGTGTGAATCTGAAAACAAACTCAGAAGCAGAGAAGCAGCGTGGTTTCCAGGGGCTAGGCTGGGGGAGGGGGTGGTGCACCAGCGAATCTGGGCATGGTGGTTAAAGGATACAATGTTTCACTTAGGAGTAATGCTTCTAGAGGCCTATTCTACAACATGATGCTGACTGTTGATAGCAGAAATTGCAGAGGAAATTTTAAATATTCTCTTGGTAACAATGATACACACATGAGGTGATATGTTAATTAGCTTGATTTAATCATACTGCAAAGTATACTGGCATCAAATACATCACACTGTACATCATGAGTATCATTTTATATTTGCTTAGTAAAAAAATGAAGAAAGAATAAACTAGTCTATGAGTGCATCTAACTGGACGTGCATGTCACAAGGGTCTCCCTGGGACATGGTGGCTCTGCCAGAAAGCTCTTTTGAATTCTCAGGGATGGGATGGGTCAGCTGGTCCAGGCCTCTGATCACAAATGAGTATCATTCTTCCTTAGCTTGTGATTTCTGTTTACTGCTGGGCCTGGTTTCACATCTCCAGAGTTTGGAAAGGGAGATGACATTACCAGCTACCAGTTGGCTTTTTATAAGAATACTTTTTCATGATTGATACTTTAAAAGAAAAAAAGTGAAATACAATCTCAATCCTTGGACTATACAGGATTAAGGTATTTCCTGTGTTCCCAGTTCTAACAGTGGTTTACTTGTACTGATGACATGAAAATTTTGGTTTCTCTTTGTAAGAAGGAGAATGTTGAGGCAGAGCAGCCCTTTTCTGAAAATCTGAAATTCAGTGTGCTCCCAAACCCAAGAACTTTCTGAACACCAACACAAATCAACACAAATATCCAAATTTCTTGCAGTTTGGAGCATTTTGGATTTTAATTTTTTTGGAGTAGGTATATTGAGCTGCCACGCCTACTTTCTATTCCCACACTTTTGGACAAGGATATGTACTCAACTTGTATTTAAGTTTATAGCTTGACTTTTTTTTTTTTTTTTTTTTTTTTTTTTTTTTTTTGGGGAGGGGTTTTTGGGCTCCCCCCCCTCTTTTTTTTCCCCCACCTTTTGGGAAAGGATATTTTCTCAACTTTTTTTTAAGTTTTTATTTTTTTTTTTTTTTTTTTTTTTTTTTTTTTAATCTTTTTGAGGCAGGTCTCCCTGTAGGCCCAGCTGCCCTGGCACTCCCTATGTAGACCAGGCTGGCCTCAATCTCATAGAGATCCACCTGCCGCTGCCTCCCAAGTGCTAGGACTACAGGTGTGTGCCACCACACCCTAGCTTTAATTTTACTTTTTTAAAGGACTCATATACAATAAAGTAGAATCTAAGTATTTCAATGGTGAAGTAAGCTGAGGA